GCCCCCGCGCGGCCTCCGCCGCCCCCGCGCCGCCCCCGCCGCACACCGGCCGGCTGGAGCAAGAGCGACACGACAAGCCACATCCATGAAAGTTTTTCGACGGTTTTATCTGAAGGGCGAGGTTGCGCTGTGCGCGCGGGCGGGTGAATTATGAACTCTGCGCCGACTTTTCTGCGGCGGAAAAGTCTCGGTGGAGATGTGCGCGGGCGGGCAGGGGCCGGGCGGGGGATGCGGAGGGACGCTGCGGGACGTGCGGGGACTTTGCGGCCCGCCCGCTCCACCAGGCCGGACCGGGCCGGCCGAGCCGACTCGACGGTTAGGTACGAGGGGGAAATTAGCGGCAGTCCGCTTGATTTCCTCTGGTCGGTCCGGTCCGCTAGGTCCGGCCGGTCCGGGGCCCCGTGTGTGTCTGTCGGACAACCCCCATTATCACGTCACGTCATGCTCGTCACGCTCGTGTCGCGTCACCGGGCCGTGTCACGTTTGGCCGTGTTGTGCCGCGCGTAGACTTTGTCCCCGTACAGCACATGGACATCCTCCGTGTGCGATCGGCGGCGAGAGATTGCCTCGCGGCGCGCATGCGGGCTCCGCCGCCGTGGCTCCGATGCACTGCTGCGGTGCGCTTCCTGCCGGCAGCTGTCGCGGCAGATTTGCACCACCTGCCTCTGCAGACGCACCTGGCGCGTGTCGCCGCCGCCGCCGTCGTTGTGCATTTGATGAAGTCGCCTGCTTCTCTCGTTTTTGCGAGGAGCGCGCGGCGCGGTATGTTGCGCAAGTCCGCAGTCCACGCGCGCGCGCGCGCGCGCGCTCGGGCGGGAGCGCAGCGAAGTTACGCGCCAGCGGCGGGGAGGAAGAAGGGGGTCTCGTCTTGCGATCGGACGCGCTCCGGTGCGCCTTTAGCCCGGCCCGAGGCCCGGCCCCGGCCACAGCGCCGGCGCGCGGGGCGTGTTCGCGGTTCGCGGATGATCGAACAGAACAGAGCCCGACCGGCGCGGCGCACGCGGCGAGGGCATCCCCGGGCTGGGCTGGATGGGATAGCCTGGAGCAGCGGAGCAGAGCCCTTTGCTGTAGCGGAATCTGCGCGTTCGTGTGAAAGGAGGGAAGGGCGCGCGGAACAGAACGCGCTGTAGACGAGCGGGGATGGAGGCGCTTTCATTTCATTAGTCCCCCTTCCTCCCGTGGGTTCGTTCGGGTCGGGCCCCGCGAGCCCCTGTGAGGTAGGCACGCCTCGTGCGCGCGCGCGCGCGTGCTGCCTATGGCGTGCGGCCGCAGGCGCCCGGCCGGGGCGTGGCGGGGGGCGCGCCGGGTCAAGTTTGGCTGAGCACAACACATGGCACGGGCGGCCCCGCCTTACCCTCTCCGTTTAATTAGTCGCCATGTCGGGCGTCTCTCACGGCAGGGCAGGGCAGGGCGGTGCGTGCCGAGTCGCGTGCTGAGCAGCCCTGTCCGCCCTGCCGGCTGTGGAGCCCCGCCCGCCCGTGAGGTAGGCAACACTTCGATCCTGCCCGCCGTGCAGACACGCAAAGCCGCCCATATAGGCTCGCCCCCGCGCGGTTCGGCACCACGCCGCGCCATGCTTTGACCGGCCGGCTGTTCGAATCCAATTGTAAAGGAGAAGCCTCGTGGCGGCGCCGCCTCCCGCGCCCCCGGCCTCCTGGCGGCTTGGCCTGGCCTACTAGCCGCCGTGTATCAGTGTGTGAGAGGTGTGTGTGTGTGTGTCAAGACGAAAAGAAAGACCCCCAATGCAGGGCCGCCCGGGCCCGGCTCCTGCATCACCTAGTGGGACAACCAGACTATTTTTGTTGTAGCTTCAGGGGAGGGGGGGGCGGCAGGACGCGCTCCCGGCTGTCGGACGTCGCACTACTTCCTCCCAACCCTCTCGGCTGACGCACTGCCTGACTTCTTTTAATCTTATCTAACTCTCTTGCCCGATGAGTTTTTCGCTGACACTGTAGACGCATCCATATCCAACGTGGTTGGCATGGCCGGAACACGTGCAAACTAATGGTTATTCGAGAACAGCGCGGACAGCACAGCACAGAAACGAATCAAAACTAGCGCGTTGAATTGTAAGTTGACTCTCATTTCCAATATTTGTGTCCCTGTTTCAGTTTGACCATGGCGACCACGCGGCTGCGACTGGGAGAGGCCCCGGCGAGCGGGACTTCGCGAACATGATCCATGCGTGAGGTAAGCGCGACCTGCCGTGGAGGAGAGGGGGGGTGCATGCTGACTTCGCACCTACCTCAGGGGGGGGGGGGGGGGGGGCCCCCCCCCCCCCCCCCCCCGGGGGGGGGGGGGGGGGGGGGGGGCTCCGCCTGCCCCACCGCTCGGGGGCGGCAGGAGGAGTCCCACGGGCTGCATGCATGGTAACGGAGCACTGCTTAACATCTTCATTAGCGAGTTAGCCTAGAGTTAGCGATGGAGGGTGCATCGGGCATCCGGGGGACACCTTTTTATTTTCTTTGTAATTGTTTGTTTTTAAGAGCGAGGTGATGTTTAAAAAGTAGTAAATGACGTTTGAGGGTTGACGACACTATCTTAAGTTCCACACCTTACCTTACCATCCCGGTTGAGGGCAACAGGTAAGCGTCAGGGCTGGGTGGGCAGCACACACCGTATCTCTCCTCCTCCACCTCGTCCCTCCCCTCCCACCTCTCCAGTTCCTCTCCAGTTCCTCTCCCTGGCTCTCCTCTGCGTTCTCCTCAAAGCAGATCAGTTTTAGTCTGAGGTTCCCTCCGGTAGCACGCCCACGCAACGCACAACGTGCTGTCGGTTTCTGTGCAAATTCTCCTCGGTTCGGATAAGCCACATAGTTCTGTCGTTCGCTGACGTGACCGCGACGTGCTGATGAACCCGCGCGCGAACGTTTTAAAAAAAGAAAGCGCGTTTTTCTTTTGCTTGTGTTGTTTCAATTTTTCGATCGAAAGACGCGTGTTTATTGTGTGGATCCTGGATTATTGGATAACTGGATGCAGAAAACTAGTGACGTGTGTTCACCATTCAGTAGTTAAAGAGTTACCCTCGTGGTCCTTGTACCGCATTTAGTTCTAAACTCGCATTCATCAACATTTTCTAGAACTACGGTTGCAGCTTCGGCTGCAAAAGTTCTTAATCCGATGAAGACGGAGTACAATTTCGTTGTGGCGCTCCGAACGTTGTCGTGATGTTGAAAAAGCTTGATTCTTTCCCAATACGGCGGCATAAGTACCCAGTACCCCTCTCGAAGAGGCTTCTTGATACCTCGGCTGTTGTAATTGATTCAGCACGTCGCCTAATTAAGGAAAAGGGGGTGGGGTGGGCAGAGAGGGGG